TTACATTACCGTGCGGAGGAGGGGGGGGGGGGCGCTGACTCCCCCGCCGCGTCACTGCTGGTGGGGGGGGGGTTCTCCTTTGCGCAACATGTCACAATATTTTTTAAATTAAAATGTTTCAGATTGAGAAGTGCATGGCTAGGAGCTGTGATAATATTCCTCTAGTAGCTGCCCTTCATGTAAAGGGAAATCTTAATGGGCAGAACCTACATGATAATGTGATTGCTGCCAACATAACAGACATGGGACCACGACGAGCAGTGTCAGCTACCATGAAAGACATAATTAAACAGCAGGTAGGTCCTTCCTTTTATAGGGCTGTCTTGATTGCAATAATCTTACTTTTCTGACTGGCATTTCAGCTTGACTAACAGAATTTTGAGGCCATGACATCATCAAAAGGATTGAAATATTCACAAAATGCTCCAAGCCATTGGAAACACTCCGACAGTCTATGCATTCACACATCTGGCCAGTTAGCATAGTTTTGACTGTGTTTATGGAACTTAAGACACTAACAGGTGGCACAGATAGCTTTAAAACTTTACTGCCATATTGTCAGCCACATTATCGCTGTCAACCATTAGAAGTTTATTTGTGAAAAGAAGAACCTGCTCTAATGGTCTAGTGGTAATGTGCTCACTATTGGACCCAAGGTTCATGACCAAGAAGAATGGAACTTTAAGCATGATGTATATTCATAGCACAACTTCCTTTGGATGGGAAGTAAAGTCAGGGGTGTCCCATGTTGTGCATTTATGGCATGTAAAAGAACTTTTCACTCATGATAAGAGATGAGGGAAGATAAAATTAGGTGCCATTTTTGGTCACCCACAGAGCACTCTACTCTGTTCAGTCACACAACTGCACAAGTGAGAATAACTTGAAATTACCCAACCAAATTGAGGTGTGCTGGACAGCTGGGTAAGGTCACTCATGCAGCTGGTGTCTGAATAGAAATTGAGATAATGAGATACACTGACCAGCTGAGGTCAAAAGCAAAACTGACTTCTGACAAAATGCACCATCAGAAACCAAGCAACCAGACCCAGAGCCTAACCTTAGAACATTTTTAGATATTTACTTTTAAGGACAAAGCCCAAAGCCTGACCATATGGACTTGAGGTTGGAGATAGATTCAGAGGACAGGCTCTGGTCTTGCGTTCACAGATAAACTTCTAGTGTTAGCAGCTTTCACATGCCAGCATATACTGAATATATTTGGGCCACTGTGTTTGCCATCAAAATCCAAGTTTTATTATTATTATTGTGTAAGTTCTTATTTCGTTAGGAGTCAGGATAGCTCAGTTGGTATAGTGATGGGCTGTGGCCTTGACAGGGAGGGTTTGATTACCTGCAGAATCAAGGTTTCTACTGAATTCCACACCATCCAGACCGACACTGGGGCCCACTCAGCCTTCTAATTGGTGGGTACCAGGGTACCCCCGATGGTGTCTCTACCTTGACATAGTGGAGGGGCTTGCATGGTCAAATGACCCTGAGAGCTATGCCGGTGGTAGCATAGCTACTGGTAGGGCCACCCATGCCACACAGGTCGAAGGTGATGACCCAGACTAAAAGAGATACCCTAGCCCTCCAGGTACAATAGGTGGTAGGAGACGTGCTGGGAAACCAAGAACTAGATGGATTGATGTGGTGGAAGAAGATGCAAAGAAGTTAATGGGCATAAGGAACTGGAAGAGAGCAGCTCAGGATAGAGAGGAATGGAGGGGCTTGATAAGCGAGGCCAAGGCCCGACATCAGGCTGTTGCGCCATAGAAGAAGAAGAAGAACGGCCTTTTTTCCCCTGGGGGTGAAGCAGCTGGGTCATGTAGCTGGCCACTCACTTCCATCCAGTGTTAAAGTCAAGTATGGCAGAGCTATACTGCCAATCCCTGACACATCACCATGATGTGGTGCTTAATTAATTAAGCACAGGGACATCTTTACCCCTACATTTTTATCATTTCATAATTTGTTATGAGCAGCATCTATATATATATTAACATACTGGCTGTCATACGACTCAAGTTTGAGTCATACAGAATTCAATAGCATAGAATGGGGCCATCTACCCAACAATGTCTACAGAATGAAGACAAAATAGATTTTTAATTTTTTTTTAATGCTAGTGGGGTGGGACTAAGTTCCTTGTACTGTGGCCACTTCTGGCCTATTGTACCAGCCCCAGATGATAGGTGAGGGTGATTGTGGAGCAATTGGTGGAATGAAGATTGGCGGGGAAAACCGAAGTACTTAGAGAAAACCTGCCCCAGCTCCACTTTGTCCACCACAAATCCCACTTGACCAGACCTGGGATCGAATCCGGACCACCGCAGTGGGAAGCCAGTGACTAACCGCTTGAGCTATGGCATGGCCCAAGACAAAATAGATACTAATGTATCAATATTTGTTTATCATGCATGGCATTGCACTGCATGTCTCAATCTTTTCTGAGTCATCATCAGGTGAGTCACCAAACTATGTTCTTGAATTGAGTAACATTGGTGACTCTCCTGGTATCCATGCCATTGTTAAGTGGCTAAGCTTACTATTCTGCCCTGAGGATGGTGGCAGCAGGTTCCTTCCAAACTTTGGTAATGATCTGCCAGGCCACACATCACCACATCCCAGAAGACAGCAATCATCTACACAGTGACTGATTCACCAAGTGATCAGTGTTTTAATAGAAGTAATTTCCTCTTGATTCTCATGCCATATTCTTGATGATAAAGAATTTTCTAATATAGGCACTTTTCCATTCAAGATATTTGTGATGTAAGCAGGTTTTATGCATTACAAAGAAGAATAATTAAATTACTGTTAAGTAAATACACAGCTATGCGTACTTATTCCTTGATATCGCTGTGCATCCAGAAACAGGGAAATCACATTTGCAGGTTTTATAAAATTAAATTGCTTTTGTCACTGTAAGGCAGAAACTTAACCCAGTTTTGAGGTGTCTGAGGAGAGAAAAATATGTCGGGGCTGGGATTATTTCTGGAAAAATTAACACGTGATTGAAACAATAAAATTTCAGTGCTACCAAGATGTATCACAGAACACAATAGTATGGCAGAAGTGTCATACTGAGACATTCTGATGTTACCAGAAACTGAGCTTCACTGCCATCTCTGAGGTAAAGTCAAACTTATGCACTAAATGAGAACATGGAATATTCCTATGAGCTGTACCTTGGTACATCCAAACATCCATGAACCAAATCCACTGGATTACAGTACAACAGTTTTTAGCCATTAAGATAACATGCTACTTTCAGCATTTTAAAACTGAACATTTAAGGATTTATTACAGATATTCTGTCTTCTTGTTATATGATACATCCTTGTAGGTATCAAATTTATATTTATATAGATATACAATTCATATTTTCTCATAGGCTGGCTGGTTTCCGTATTTGACATTTTTACTGTCTCCAGTGTCGTGGAATACAGCATATGAAGTTGATGAAGCCAACAATGGCTATTCCCTCACAAATGGAAATTTTAGACAACATTCACAGATCGAGTTCGCTACGGGTATGTAATGCTACCACATACTTTTAAAGGTACTTACTTATATCTGAGAATGGAATGAGGCTAAGTCCCTTGGTATTGTGGCCTCAGATGGTCGTACTGTACCAGCCCTGAATGATAGACAAGTCTGGAACATTGGTGGATTAATAATGGACAGAGAACTCAAAATGCTCATAGAAAAATCTGTCCAAAAGCCTATCACAAATGTCACATGGACAGCCCTGGGATTAAATTTGGGCGTCCATAGTGAGACCACATTGACCAGCTACCTAAACTATGGCATGGGCTAAAAGTACATTCCTAAATAAAGGTTGAGTCTCCTTTGTTTTAAAGCACCACACCATAAAAGTGTATGAGGGCTGTGGAGGTGATGAGCCACATATCCTAAACCTTGGTAATAAAAGATGGTAACTGATGAGTTTCAAGCTCTTGCCACTTTTCCTCCCTGAGGACATATCCTGCAGTATCCATTAGACTTTCCAATACAGTATAACTCCACTTAGCTGAGTTTTTTTCAAGAAGCCAACAGGTGCTCAGCCACTCAAGAAATTTCCAGAATGTTGTAGAACCCAAAGGTTCAGTACCATGTTCACAAGAGCCTGTCATTGACCTCTATCGTGAAGCAGATTAATCCAGTTCATACCACTCTGTCCTATTTCTCTAAGATCAGTTTTAATATTATAATCTCTTCTATGTTTAAGGTCTTCCTAGTGGTTTCTGTCCATCAGGTTTTCCTATCAGAAACTACGTATGCACTCCTCTCCCTGTCTGCTACATACTGTGCCCATCTCATCCTCCTTGAATTGATCATTCCAATAATATTTGGTGAGGAGGCCTCTCACTGTGCAGTTTTCTCCAGGCTTCCATTATTTCATCCTTCATGGGTCCAGGTGTCCTCCTCAGCGCCCTGTTCACAGACACTCCCAGTCCGTGGCAAATTTTTACACAAATTCAAAACTGGAGGCAAAATTTTAGTTTTTCATATTTTAATTTTTAATTTTAGACAGCAGATGAGGAGGCAATAATGTACTGTCACATATGAGGGGTGTGTATGACAAATAATGACAGGTTATGGTTTGGATGATTCAATTTATTGGCACTTCTATTACAATTAGTTAATTATAACAACTCACAATCAATGACTGTTTAAGACTCTCCCCTTTCCTTACTGGACTGTGAGTGTCTTCACTTCCACTGTGACTGAATTGGTTCAGATTTACGAGTCGGTCACTTCTTCAGCTTCCATTGTCTGCTGATTAGCACTCCACAGCTGAACACTCAACTTCCGAATATCTTATGACTGAATGATTGAACTAACTGAATTCTTGAATCAATTATATGTACCCTTTTTATAACTTCAGGGTTAATTGACTATAGGTCACCATCTCAAGCAGTTCCTCTATTATTCTCTGTTTTTGTCTGTTGCTATGAGCATGCATTAATTCTGCGTCAATGCTCTGATTTCTACAACGATATTTTTTGCCACATTTTAAAGCAAGTCATTCAGATTTTATGAAAGAATTTGTAAAAATCAATATAAGTTGATAAAATGAATAATTATGGGGCACAGATTTATATTACCAACATATGTATGTAAATTTCCTTATCAGAATTGTTCAGAAATGAAGAACATGAAAATGAAATATCAGTATTGACCCAAAGCCTGGCTTACATTACGTACATACATACATACACACACACACACACACACATACGCTGATCCATTGTCCGAATCGGACCGGATATTGAACTCGTCAAAATAAGACTTGATTGCAGAAACACAGTCTTGTCAACAGCATACAACCGCACACAACCAAAAGCACCAAATAACCATAATTTACATTGTCATTCATAAACAAAATTACAAGGAATATCCATGACTTATTTCACCGTCTTTTAGTGCATACACTTATCTACCTCACTCCTTTCTCCCACACTACATGTTTTGGCACAAAAGTGCCATCTTCAGGTGCTTATTCAATTAACGTTAAACTAGTTCACTGCATGCCTTGTCTTCATATTAAAATAATTAAAATATATATTTATCATATATACTGATAAATATTAAATATTAAAAATATTAAAATTGTTCAGGATTTTTCCTACGTCGTATCTCACTTCTCGGGTCACCTCTAATCTCTTCTGTCGGAGCACTCTTTCTATTATCGTGTGTGTATTGTGCTTTATGTTGTGTCTTGCTCCTGTGACTGCGTGTGTTATACTGCTGGGCCTGCAGGCCCAGAAATGAGTGAGGTAGATAAGTGTATGCACTAAAAGACGGTGAAATAAATCATGGACTTAAATCAGTGCAACAGGACGCTAAAATATAACATTATTACAAGGAATATAGTTATTAAATGTTATACAAGCTTAGCAGAAATATATTCATCCACTGAATAAAAAGCAAACTTTTCAGTATGCATTTAAAAATCATCACATTTTCATTCAACCTTTGTATATTTTGAGGAAGATTATTATAAACCATAATGGATGAGTATAACATGCCTCTCTGGATTAAAGATAATCTCACTGATGACACATGTAGCTTTCCAAACTGTCTAGTGTTTATATGATGAATATTATTGTTAGTCTGAAAAAAATGCAATTTCTAACAACAAACATCAATATAAAATACATATATGCAAAAACAGAGATACCATGTATGTGAGAGAGGGGCGGATAGAAGTAACCAGAAGACGTAAGAAGATGCTGGATGACCTTGGGGACAGAAGAGGATATTTTCATTGAAGGAGAAAGCTTGAGATTGCATTAAGTGGAGGAACTGTTTTGGAAGAGACTGTGGACCTGTCGTCTGGCAGATTACTGATGAAATGAATATAGGCTAGGAACCGTCAAAATACTCAACTTCTTAAAACCTTCTCTACACGAGTTTCCAGGACTCAATCTCAGCATAACCCTAATTAATGGGAAGTAGAAAAATTATTTGTTGTTGATCACAGAAACTGTTCGAATGTGCCAAGAACAGAATGATCAGTGCACTGTTATCCAGTGATTTATTCACTTTAAAGCATAAACTAATATAAGCTTTTCAGTAATGGTGTTCTAGCACATTATGCTATATAGTTTGGTAAAATGGTACAAACGTTCCAGAGGAATCAGCTGCCTCCATCTTCAGTACCCTGAAGATGGAGGCACAGGCTCCTACAAAATATTTGTACAGTCAACTCTCGATTATCCGGGCTAATGGTGGGGATGGAAGTCACGGTTAATCGAAAACCCGGTTAAGCCAAATTTTATTATACGGGCTGGACGACTGTGAAGGGTCGGAGTTCGAGTCCCGGTAGGGTCAAGAATTTTAACTTCTCCAAATCGTCCAGACCGGCTCTGGGGTCCATCCAACCTCCTATCCAATGGGTACCGGGGGCTCTTTCCCCGGGGGTAAAGCGGCCGGGGCGTGAAGCTGACCACTCACCTCCAACTAGTGCCGAGGTCAAGAAAATTTGGATCTATACATCCACTCCCCCACACGCCTTAATGGCGTAGGGCTTAATTCGTTGAGCAGAGGAACAACTTTACCTTTTACCTTTTAATACCTTCATAATACTATAGACCTACCTGTATTTAAATTTATTCATCCTCATTTCTATGTCATCTCATGGCCTATTTAATACTTTCTTTACATTACACTCAGTATGAATTAGTTATTTCAATCACTGTTCAACAACATCCAGCACTTTTTACGGTCACACTTAACACTTAAAATAATTTAATACTGTCTTTTGCTTTTTCGCGGCATTTTCCTTTTTACGGATATCCGTACGAAGCCTACGTAATATTAGCTTGTCACTTAATAAACTGTCCTCTTCACTCTCAAGATAGTCTAGTAAGGATTCCAAATGATTAAGCGCAGCACCATGTGATACTTTCTTACTGGCAACACTGTCCACCTCTTCCTCATTCTCACTTTCTTCCCGCTCTTCTGGCTGCACCCCCATTGAAGTTACGATTTCGTCACTGCTTAACATTTCGAAGCCCGGTTCACACGAGTCACAGTTAAACCACTCTCTTATATTTTCCTCGTTGACTTCTTCACCACCATGAACTTGGTTAGCCACTTTTGTCAATTTTATGGCTATCTCATTTTCACTGAATCCAGTGAATCCATGGATTTCGTCATCTTCATTAGTGATGAAAGGCATCAGTTTCTTCCATGAATTTTTCAATACAGATGGCTTTACTGTATCCCACGCTGTTGAAATCTCGTATATGGCATCTAATACTGAAAAGGACTTCCAGAAACACGTCAGATCATTGCCTTCATCGATGTACTTTTGTAGCAAATTTGATCTGTAGATTCTCTTCATACTTGAGATAACTCCTTGATCCATTGGTTGGATAAGTGCGGTAACATTAGCGGGAAAATATTTCACAAAAATATTTCCATCATCTGACCTCAGGAGACTTTCGTTAGGATGTGAGGGCGCATTGTCAATGAGGAGCACAGCTTTCTCAGGTAGGCCTTGGGATTTTAGATGGTCACGAACTTGAGGCACGAATTTAAAATCAAACCATTCTTTAAATATCGCTCTATTCATCCAAGCTACTTTCTGGTTAAAATAATGGATAGGCAGACTTGAAGCTACTGTTCCTTTAAAAGAGCGTGGTCTTTTCGCTTTGCCGATAACTACTGGTATTAGTTTGTGTGTTCCTGATGCATTAGAACAGCACAAGACTGTCAATCTCTCCTTACTGGATTTGTGACCTGGAGCCTGTCTTTCATTTTGAAATGCCAATGTTCTGGTTGGCAAGCATTTCCAATAAAGACCCGTTTCATCGGCATTATAGATTTGTTCTGGCAGCAGATTTTCACTTTTCACAAAACTATCAAAATTGGTGCAAAATTGATCTGATGCTGACAAGTCCCCTGACAATTTCTCACCTTGAATACTGATTTCTCGTATTCCATGACGCTGCTTGAAACGTGTTAGCCAACCGGAAGAAGCGTCAAAACTCCCTTCTAGTTCAAGTGCTTCGAAAAAATATTTAGCTTGTTTAGCACAAACTGGTCCTGTTATTGTTGTTCCCTGTGCCCTTAGTTGATTAAACCAGGTCAGCATCGCTTTGTCGAGATCATCGTATGTTGATTTCTTCATGGTTTTTCTCTTCTTCATTCCGCTTGAATTAGAAGACGAAGCAAAGGAAATTAACTCATTCTTTTGTTTTTTCAAATCACGAACAGTTTGTTCTCCAATACCGTATTGCATTGCTAATTGTTTAACTACAGCTCCTTTTTCCAGCTGATTGATAATTTCAAGTTTCTGTTGAATACTTAACACAACACGCTTCCTTTTAAACCCCGACATTTTGCTAACGCACTTGAAGATCTATATTAAGAAACTGATACTTACTTTCACAATGCACTCTCACACTGAGATGGTACCGTTAAATAACCTGGGGCGGTGTATTTGTCCTTGAAACTTTCCAAAAATTCTTGCATTCTTTCACCCCCACCCTAGAACATTGTGTTCGCATAACGGGACGAAATAATGCAGAGCTCGGTTCACACTAGTGCGAAAATAGTGTTACAACTCACCATGTGAAACAAAAGTGAATGAATATTAAACAACATATAAACTTAAAAAAAAAAGCCCCGGTTAATCCGCCCCCGGATAATCGAGAGTTGACTGTACCTGTGTACCAAACCATGTGGCATCATAAACTCATATTGATACCAAATGCCATGAGAATTTCAAACTTACCATTAGCTCATAACAGTATATTTGTATCCATTAACACAATTCAGGTAAAAGTAATAACAAAGGTTATTTACATTAATATTAATCACTACATGTTTCATCCCCTGTTGGGTCATCATCAGGTGTATCTCTGTATACTTAGCTGTCTATTAGCTTCTCAAGAAGGAATCTGTTCTCTTGAGTTGGTAGTTAATTAGTAAAGTATGAATTGTGTTTACATGATGATATGCCATTGTAGAATATATTAAAAAGAATTAAAAATATGAGAAATAGGTTATGGGAAGAACTAATAGCTTGCTTTCTTTGATACAACATGGACAGCATAGAAAATGATGCCTCCAAAAATTCTTCTTTGCTGTGGGAACGTCTTTACCAAGTTGTTACCAAACAGTGATAAGGGGGATACACAAACAGACCCACAGATGCATGCGTCCAATGATTCTTCTATTGTTGCATGTATTCTTTACTCCAGGAACTTGTTTAGAGAACTGTTGCCTAGCAGCGATAGGAGAGACGGGGGCAGAGAATGATAGGAAGGATTTATGAAGTATGCCATTAAGATAGGTACAGGTGCCATGATATACATACTTGTTTTCATAAAAACTGGTTTAGGCATTCGAAAATTATAAGCTGGGGGGGGGGAATTCGCAGACACACAGACAGCGTGGAGATCGCATGAGCCTACTATAATTTTTTTTAAATAAGGAAAGTAGGCTAAGAAAAAACATGGCCGATGAGAAAATCAGCTATATAAAGTACTTCATTAGTAAAAGTTGCACGGTTTAATTTGTTAAAATATAACTGATAAAAGTATTACTTATGTTTAGGGGAGGAACTGGTTGTTACTCATGTTGGCCGAGGCATCGATGAAGTTGGAACGCTTCAAGTGGACATCGAAGTTAACGGAGAAGTACCTCTGGTGCAGCCAGAAGCATCTGTATACATAGAACCATTTGAAGGTGTGTATGCAAAGTCTTTTTCCTTTGTATATTGAGTTTGCATTATGTTGGAAACAGAAGATAAATGTTATTATATCTTCTTCTTCTTGTCCTCTTTTTCATCAATGTTTCCACTTCTGTGTGAGTCATCTAGTTATCAAGCCACTGTATTGAGCTCCTTCCTTCCAGAAATCCTCAGCATATTGTCCCATACTCATCCTTCCATTTTGAGGTCATTCGATTTTTCAGTTGACCTAATCCTTCCAGCTGCACTATGGCACTGGGATCAACTCAGTCTATAGCAGAAATGAGTACCAGGAATCTTCCTGGGGCTAAAGGGTGGCCAACCAGCCAGTACATAAGGCCAACAACCTCACCACAATCTGTGAGCTGATTGTCTAGAAGATGTGGGAGCCTCGACATCTCACAACCCTATGGGCCTCCATGGCCTGTTAACAGGGGTAGCTTCACCTTTTCATAGTAAATACATCTTGATCTGTCTCATTGCTTGAGATTTAAGTGACCTGTAATTCCATCAGTTGTAACCTGTTTAATATAAATTATATGAATACACCTTTACATGTTTCTACCAGTACTAACCATCATCAGAAATTTCTCCAACACTACGTGTATAAGGAAATAATTTACATGCATGCTATATCTATATATACGCCTCTGGATTATTACCATGAAAAGTTAAGATCTGATTTAGATACTATACAGAGTGTTTCACGACTTTAGGGCATAACTACAGGAGGTGATTTCCAAGGTCTTTGTGATCAAAAAAGTTCATATAAACATGTGTCCGATTTTGGACAGTTACGGAGTTATGACCATTTTAAACTCAGAATAGAAGATAACGATTACTGACAATTACCAGAACAAAATAATAAACCAGCATAATACATGATACATTTAAAGTATGAATGTACAGTTAACTTTGTGAAATTACGTTTAATTTGAATTGATTGGTGCTTAAAGGTGATTTTCGAAAATGCCACCGCCGGCCGCAACACAGGCTGCCACTCAGTTGTGAACTGCGCGGGTAGCACGCAACAGCTTCAGCTGGCTGTTTCCTATGTGGTCAGTGGCGTCCAGAATGCGACCGAGCAAAGCATCTCAAGTTGCCACCTTCACATTGTAAACCAGTTCTTTCTTCCATCCCCACACACAATAATCCAGTGGGCTTAAGTCTGGAGACCTGGCTGGCAATTCTTCGCATACTTGTATGTGGACTGCGGTGTACCATATGAACAATGCCTTCTTCATTGACGCCTTCATTTAACACCATGCTCTGCTGCAATACAAACGCCGGGAAGTCTACCGGTATCTCGCAATGCCTGGTAAACTCCAGTAAACACTCTCCGGTTCGGTATTCTACTATTCGGAAACCGTTGCTGATATTCAGCTACGGCAAGGACTGAGTTACCGTCACAAAACCTGTACACATAAATCATATCTGCAGACTCCTCAAATGAAAATGTAAATGGCATCGTGAACGTGACAGACGCACTGAGATTGGAACTGTTCTGAACACCACACTAGCCATGTCCTTACATACCAACCCACCATGCCTTAGGTACCTCTCAAGTGTCGAGATAACGAGAACGCTCTCTCTGTAGCTGGCTAAAAATAGCGACCTGCCAGATAATAGACGCGGTTCACATGAGGGTGTGTACGGGAATGAAAAGACGGTCATAACTCCGTAACCATCCAAAATCGGACACATGTTTATATGAACTTTTTTGATCACAAAGACCTAGGAAATCGCCTCCTGCAGTTATGCCCTAAAGTCATGAACCATTCTGTATAGTTACATCAAGTTTGTTGTTAAAATTAATATGTTATTATCATTCAAAATGGTTAAAATACTAGCTGCATAACGTGCATCCTTTGCACGCCACAACAGCATTCACTGAGCATATGCATTACATCCCACAGATGAGTATAGAATTCTCTACATACCAACAATGGAAGAGGAAACACCAGCAATCCCACATTTTACAGCTAGTTTTTAAGAAATCTAAATGATATTAATATATTAATTTTAACAGAAAACTTGATCTAACTACACAATATCTCAACCTAATCTTAATTTTTAATGATAAAAATTCATGGACAAATATATATATAGTATATAACAACATGTTAAGTATTTCCCTGTAATGTTGGGGAACCTTCTGATGATAGCCAATGTTGGCCAAGCATGTAAAAATGTATTTATATATTTTTTATTATGCTGGATACACTTGATGCAATTACTGTTGTCTCAAATAATTGTCTCTCTTGTGGCTGTACAATGTTTATTTCATTGTGCCACACACATTTGGAAATAGATTATTTTCAAGTAAAAATTTGGTTAAGATGATTTTGTTTTAACATTTAAACTGTTTCCCAGGTATTTAAGTGCACTGAGCTGTTCAATATTCATTATTCAGCCAAGATTTTGCTCTTATTGGCAATTTACTTTGTAATACCAAAAGTAGTTGATATTTTCATGGTTCCTTAGCTGCTCCAACACCAGGTTTACTCAGCAATACTGTGGTAGTGTGCTCACAGAAAATTTTTTTTACAGAAATACTCAAAGAATATTTACAAATAATTGTTATTGTAAATCATGGATTAATTATGAAAGCGTCAGATAGATGTTAAAAACATAGTTGCATGGTAATATGAAATTCGTGTTGCTTTCAGAGGATTATGTCCAGACGAGTCCCAATTCTTTGTATGCTTCATCTACCAATGCACTGAGTGTTAATGGACATAAACTTCCATATACATGGAACAACACAGTGTCTTATGACACCCTGCAGGGAACAATGCCGTAAGTACCTCAGCACAGCTATCACATCTCTCATCCATCTGAGAATACTTCTGATTCAGTCAGAGGTTTTGGTCTCCTTGAACACGCTAAGATTTCGCGTATACTGATGTCACTTATGGTTACTTTCTTCTGAGATGTGTTGCCTTATAGTCTTGTAACATGTCTAGAAAATGTGCTGACTCCAGGCTTCCTCCTCTGCATTGTAGATGGATGTAGTGCATTCCCCTGAAACATCGGTAACTATCTGCATGTCATCACATCATAAAAGACAGCATTTTCATGGTCTCCATTTCAAGAACGTCAAATCTCATAATGGTGGCAATTAACTATGGTGATGTTAATTTAACAGTTCCCTTGAACACAATTCTTACTTCATATCTACACGTATTAATATCTGCCATACCATACAGACATTTTTAATTATATGCACTTACTACTCTGGGAATGTCTGCCTCTGTGGTCTAGTGGTCAGAGTTTCTGCCTACAGATCCAGAGGTCCTGGGTTCGAATCACGGCACTTCCAGATTTTGTGAGAAGTAGTGGGTCTGGAACAGGGTCCACCCAGCCTCATGAGGATAAATAAGGAACTATTTGAATGGAAAAGTAGCGTTTCTGGTCTAGAAAACTGAGATTAACAGCCATGGGAGTCCATTGTGCTGACCATGAGACAACTTCTATCCGCAAAAGTTGGCACTCACTTCATGACAAGCAGCAGTCACTTTTCATTTATTCATTCATTCATTGTATATTCCATAAATCCATATACATAGATATAGAACCAGTCACATAGTTAATATAGTACAATACAAATATAAATATATATGTACAGTTTATAATCATTAAGACAGATAAAAAACATGTGTTAAATTTATATCAAAAAAACAGTCTTACATCACTATACATAAAATTATGCAATATTAAAATTGTTTATGCTATTATCCTTATTTCTAGGCAAATTTGTTACTAAAGAACTTGGTTGGTATAGTTCGCTTGAGGACTAAAGGTCACAGAGTTTTTGCTTGTCTGTCTAGTATGGGAATGGAGGTGTGTCATCTTCAGTTAGTGACATAGACTGTTACATTATCATTGGAAATTTACAGGATTGTCTTTTCACCATACTTCTAATGTTCATACACCAGTGGGATATTCAGACATGCCAAGGATTTTTCATCCATAACTTTGCCTATTTATGGGATTGTCATGTGATGAGTGTGGCTATAGACCAGGTTTGGATTGGTAATCGGATTTGTTGGTCACTTACAGAACGTAACTACAAATGTCTCACTGAGTTACACACTCCAAAGATCACTGTAGCTATAGCACACATAAAATCTCCTGTCTTCAAAAACCGTTGCTTGGTAGCGGCTTCCAGTGGTGGCCATTTCCCTTCCTCTGGGTTCCCAAACTTTACCCAGCCACAGCTACCAGCTTCTCGCTTCTCACAACCAAATGATTGACTGACTGCAAAATTGCTTCTGGTCCTCACCACAACAATGATTTGTGGTTCCAAGTCCCACAGTACTCATGACCACATTTTACTATCTGATTGTTCTGGGAGTCATCAAACTCCCACTCGACTGACTTCTCACAACTGAACTACTAGTCATCGTTATATAGCCCTGACACAGACCACAAACTTGTCTTCCATTACTGCATGTTCTCTTGTTCCTGGGGAAACATGTCCACAGAGCTGTTCCCTAACAACGGCTATTGAAGTTTCACCTGTTTACACAGCTATTACTTGACAATGGGTCTACATGTCACACTATGTTGTACCCTGGTTCCTACAGAAGACAGTCTTCAGGCTGGGGTGAACAAATGTTGGCTTAGTCAGAGAGAAACCCTGCTACTCAGACATCTTTTCACAAGACTAACACATACAAACCCACACCAGTATAATGGCACTAGGGTTGCCAGATTTTGTAAAATAAAAAAAGGAGTGATGTGTTGTTGCTTGTTTATAACGACATTTTTCACAACTAATAGGCTATAAAATATACATAATCAACATACTACTCATACATAACTTACAAACTTCTACTACACATCTGTATTACATAGGCCTACTACACATTTATAGAACAAAACAAATATTATGTAGCCCTATTACATATTTATAGAATGCACAAAATATTACCTAGCACACATTTGTAGAACACACAAATATTAAATACTACATATTTATAACTTTCAAGGGCCGGTCGATCAGATTCTGTTAATTGTATTTCACTGAACTCATAGCACTTTTTAATAATTGAACATGATGCTTTGAAAATTTATAAAATTCTGAACAGGACTTGCTTTCATAGTTCACTGTCACCTGGAGTTCTGCCTTGATTAAATCTGTTGAGCATCTGTTTCTTGTGTCACTCCACTTACTTTTCATGAATGAAAAGATTCGCTCCACAAAAGCATTTGAGCCAGGGATGCTAAACAAAAATCCTACCACTTTGGAAATATTTGGTACATCATGCTCAGGTACTGAAGAAAAAAATGTAAGCCAATTTGCTACATAATCACCATATCGGTTCACACTGTTGCAGAGGTAATCTCGATGGCTGCTGAACTCCTCGTACAGGTCATCAATGCAAACATTTTCACTTAGCTGAAACACTTCTATGGCTTTTTCAAAATCTTCGAACTCAATCCCTTCCTGTAGAGAAAATGCTGCAAGGGATGCGTAGGGATTGTCATCTGTAACATCATATCTTTTTTGCAGATACTGAAGCATATTGCTATAAAAGCTGTTCAGGTCTTCAGTAACCTTTTTCTGTAATGGCATAGACAATCGATTCATGAGTTCTTTTGCTTTGCTACCAAAAAAGTTGTCTTTCCTTCTCTGCTGGATTTTAGAACTGAGAAGTTTCATTTGTTTGTAAGTCTCTAGTGCACTTAAGTCAGACCTTTCCAGTGTTTTATCTACCATTTCCATCTGACTTCCAATATTACTTAAGAAATTAAAGTAGATTTCAGGCAACACAGCTTCCTCTGGGTCATCTTTCATGAAAATGTTAGATAATAATTTTGGACAGTTGGGAATATTATTGAAGTAACTTTTCATTGCTTCCCAGTTCTGAAGCAGTCGAGAAATGGCTGGTGTTAATGACAGCCACCTAGTTGGAACATGCCTCAAAATCTCAGTCCACTCCAAATTCAGAAATTCAAAGAATGATTTTAACTCTTCTCTTCTTTTGGCAGAGACAGAGAAGTGATTATATATCTTTAAGACTACACTTTCAACATCAACATCTAATCTGTCACTTGCAAACTTAATTGTGTTATGAATGACATGATTAGAGCAATTAGCTTTCAGTAAATTTGGGTTTTTACTTCGCAGCAATTGATATACGGAATGTGTTTTTCCACAGTTCACATTGGCATTGTCTGCACAATAAGAAGACACATAATTTACATCCAGGTTTTGCTTCTGTAAGCTCTGCAGCACCAAACCAGTAATTGCCATAGACGTTTCCTCAGCACTTTCAACAAAATCTAGAAGTTTATTCTGCACTCCCTTTAATGGGTCGAAGTACCGCATGCAGACAGGGAACATTTTTCAATTGCTTCTGTTTGATGCATCGGTAGCCAACGAAAAAAAATTTGAAGTATTTTCTGGCCTTCTTAAAATAGACACAAAGTCATTTACGCTTTTAGGAGCAAGAACATACTTCACTATCATTTCCACTTTAGTGCGTCCACATGAAAGTTTGGAAGCAATCGCGGAATCACTGAAAATATGGGACACAAGTTTATTTCCGCAGTCCAGACTGGAATAACTTAAGTTGTGTTTCACTGCATGATACACTAAACCAAGTTCGCACGTGGTGCTGTTGTCATATTCTTCTTTATTCTTTAAATTAACAAAGTATTTCGAAAGTTTATTTGAACTTCCAGAATTACATCTTTCCTTAATTTTATGCCCCTTGTATTGTGCATGTTGCCTCAGGCCACTTTGTCCACCGTGCGAAGTACTAAAATCCTTCCTACACAACGTACAATATGCCCGGTTCTCATCTGGTCCTGGCTTAACCCATGAAAACATATCTTCCCATTTCTTAAGATATATTTGATTATGTTTGGCCTGATATTTCAACTTCTTCCGTTGAGAAGTCTTTGATGGATCTTCTTCGCCCTCAAACATTTTTGCTAACTTGACACTGACTTTCTAGCGAAGATTGAACAGATCACTATCACCAACAACCTCTGCTTTGGTTTAGAACCTCAAGTGTTGCCAACATTCACGAAATGCAACATAATGAAAGAAACTATAACAATATTATTTTCCAAGGATTACAGGAATTTTATGATAATATTTAACCCATGAAATATAATTCGCAATGGGCTTAAATAAAAAAACGGAGAATTATCCACTCTGGGTAAACAATAAACGGAGGAACAAAATTTTGGTGAAAAAACGGAAGAATCCGGGGAAAACAGGGTATCTGGGAACCTTAAATGGCACTGTGCCACCCCACTGACTGTCATGTATCATACAAGGCATGGATTGTGTACTATGTCTACAAGGTACTATTTGCTGCTCAGTGTCCTTGAAGAATAACAGAATGAGCAGGTATTAATGTTAATCAAGAAATCCAAGTCTTTTCTGTTCATCATTCTTTATTTGATATAGATGAACATATAAATGGGTTTATCTCTGTCAGTCTTTCTGTGTGCACTCATGTCACATTACAGTTTTACATGAGTGGCTTTTAATGAAGTTCAGTGTTGAATATATTTCTAAAATAAGTAATAAAAATTTATTTATGCAGATTAAAACATCTTAGACTCTAATTTTACATGAAGCCTTTGTGTTCAAGGAAACAGATTTCTATTAATATTCATTCATTCATCTGTAATCTGTCAAGATGACAGGTCCACAGTCTCTTCCAAAACAATTCCTCCACTTAAAGCGATCTAGAGCTATCTCCTTCAAATGAAAATATCATCTTCTGTCCCCAAGGTCATCCAGCATCTTCTTACATCGTCTTCCTCGTCTTCTG